AGTGAGTGATGGGACACTGCAAAGTGAGTGATGGGATGCTAAACAGGCGGTGGTGCGACGAGGGCGTGAGAATGAAGGGGAGGTGTACTGCTAAGTTTTCAACTGTCGCTCATGTGCACCGCTCACGATACTCAGAAGCTCTGCAACACGCAACTCGACCCATTCGAACCTGCGACGAGCTCTCTCGCAGCATCTCCTCGGACAGGGCGGCATTGCCATGACCCCATCCAGGTACCCACCGCCAAGAGCAGCTTCGAGGCCCAACATCCTGCGCCATGCATCCTTGAGCTTGACCTTTCATCACGGCGACGGGAAAATCATACGCTGAAGGATCCCGTTCTTGTTTCTCCGGTACTTGTAGTCCGATGTCGCGACGTACCCACGTTCTCAAGCCTGGACGCAGCAGCAGGTGAGCTGGCCATGCGCATCGACAGCCACAAAAGACAGTCGCCGCGGAGGAATCGGCTAGTCTTGAGTTTGGCGTTTTCTACTCTCGAGGCAAAAAGTCGCGTTGGTCGCGAAGCAACAGAGCACTTCGATAGCGGTAGTCTGGGCCAGCACCATGACGGGAGCCCAGACTTTATCTGCCTTCCAAACATATGCCGCGAGTAGATACAGGCCACTGGAGCTTACCATCGGTCGAGGATGAGCGATTGTCTGCGTTTTTGCCCCAAGATAAGGCAGTGTCGAGAGCACTGATTGGTCTGCCAACACGAAGAAGGGATCTTTACCCCAGATTGCGCGTGCGCGTGCGCGGGCGCTCACACACTGCGAAGGCTCTGGAGTGAGATTCCGGGGCGTCTGAGATCACGATCAGACCTGTGCGACTGTCGTGGTCGCTATCAGTATCGTGCTACACCAAGCTGACGCCTATCGGTCGATCAGTCGGCGACGAACCACACGGGACAGCTCACCGTTGCACGACGACCAGCTGTACTATAGCAGAGCAGAAGCAACGCCAAAAGTGCACTTAGCTTTTGGAATTCGAGCATCTGCTATGGCGGTCCTCGATTCGACTCGACTCGACGGCCTCCCAGTTCTGTTGCAGCGCCACAAAATGGCAATCTCGGCTGCCACAGTAGTTGTCGATCGTGTCTGCCTGTAGACACAGGCAAATTGTCAGCAATACCGCGGAAAAGCTAATTCTCTTATTATCTTTGAGGCTCGGACAAGGTTGTCTGAAAGCACTGCGCCAAGAGATAGCGAGAGATAAGAGAACGCCTGCTCCGCCGCCAGAGAACTGCCCGGTCTCCGCCATCCCACGTCAAGCGTCGTATCAGCGAATCAAATCGTCCCGCATCAACGTTGCGCCGTCAACTTGAACATTTGCACCGTACATCCATGCTCTACGAGGCTCTACCGAAACATCATTCAGGACTAGACGCCGCCACAGCGCTGATCGGAGACGCACCGACCCTGCGGTCGACATGTGCAAGTTCCCGCAGCCCTGATCGTAGCTGTGTTGGACCCCAGCGCTGATAACGGAAACGCCAAAGCCCCCAATTCAAGCTCAAAAGCTCGATTTTCAAACTTGGCACCGTGGTTGTTGTGCAGCTCAGTCTTGGAATAGGGAAGGCGTGCGTCACGGTGCTCGACCGCGGAAGTAGTGAATTCCATGTCTGTGATGCCCGACATATAACTACTCGAGCCATATCTTCAAGTCTTATCTGTAGGCTTCAAGCAGCTCCTCTCGACAGCAGGGCCCCGCATACACCCCGGTCCTTCCGCACATATCCCCAGATCTCCAGCAAATCATCCGCTACAATGGGTTTCCAACTGAAGCAGCTCTGGTCGGCGCCAGAGGTCAACCCCTACAACAAGAAGGCGAAATCGATCCCCGTGCTCAACCCTGTCGACAAGTACGGCCGTGTGTTCTTCTTCAGTTACCTGGGCTTCTTCATTGCATTCTGGTCATGGTAAGATCTCTCCACATGCAAATTTGACTTTACGACGTACTGACCAGGCGCAGGTACGCCTTTCCACCTTTGGTATGGCGACCCACAATCCCTCCGTTCATTCACTCGTCTAACACTCGCGCAGCTCAGCGTCAGCATCAAGAAGGATATGCACCTTTCTCAAAATGAGGTTGCCAACTCCAATATCATTGCACTGACTGCCACACTGCTCGTGCGAGCCATCGCCGGTCCCATGTGCGACAGCATTGGTCCTCGCAAGACCTTTGCTGCTCTGCTCTTCATGGGTGCCATTCCCACTGCCCTTGCAGGTACCGCGAAGAATGCGATGGGTCTGTACTTCATTCGCTTCTTTGTCGGTATCCTTGGCGGCACATTTGTCCCCTGCCAGGTCTGGACGACGGGTTTCTTCGACAGAAACATTGTTGGCACTGCCAACGCTCTTGTTGGCGGCTGGGGTAACTCTGGCGGCGGCATCACTTAGTAAGCACTCTCACCGTAGCCATGTGGCCTTGCTAACAGTACACAGCTTTGTCATGCCTGCCATCTACGACTCGCTTCGTCAAGAGCGCGGCCTGTCTTCCCACGTCGCGTGGCGCGTTTCTTTCATCGTCCCCTTTATCCTCATCACCATCACCGCGACTGGCCTCCTGCTCCTCACTGACGACACACCCACTGGCTCATGGGCCGATCGCGGTGCTGTCGTTGTCCGTGGCACTGCCCAGTCCAACGTCGTTGCCACCACCGGCGGCATCGCGGACAAGCCTGAGGCAGTGAATGGATCCATCAGTTCTTCCGACGAGAAGAAGAATCAATCCGAGCGCGACGTCGAGTCTGCATCTACCTCTGACAACGGTCAGATCCTGGACGAGGTGCAGCACGAGGTCGTCGTCAAGCCCACTCTCAAGGAAGCCATGAAGGTCCTGGTCTCCCCCCAGACCCTCATGTTGTGCGCAGGATACTTCTGCTCCTTCGGCGGCGAGCTCGCAATCAACTCCGTCCTCGGCTCGTACTACCTCAAGAACTTCCCCTCGCTGGGCCAGACTCAGTCCGGCCGCTGGGCCGCCATGTTTGGTCTGCTCAACGTCATCACCCGCCCTCTCGGTGGCTTCATCGGCGACTTGATCTACAAGTACAGCCACGGCAACCTGTGGGCGAAGAAGTGCTGGATCCACTTTGTCGGCGTGATGAGCGGCATCTTCCTAATCGTCATCGGCAAGCTCAACCCGCACGACCTCGACACCATGATCGGACTCGTTGCGCTCATGGCTATCTTCATGGAAGCCGGTAACGGCGCTAACTTTGCGCTTGTGCCGCACATTCACCCGCACGCCAACGGCATCCTGTCCGGCATCGTCGGCGCGACGGGGAATTTCGGTGGCATTGTTTTTGCGATTATCTTCCGCTACCATCCGGGGCAGTACGCGCGTGTGTTTTGGATCATGGGCTGTATGATTATCGCGCTTAATTTGTGCTTGGCGTGGGTTAGACCTATTCCCAAGGGCCAGATCGGTGGTCGCTAGGCTGGAAGCGCGTTGCTTTGAAGTTTTGTTTGCGAGCGCTTGTTTATACACCAGAGTTGCTTATAAGTTATAGTTGTAACTAAGCTACTATCTGCCCTTTCAAAGTGCTATGCCTGCTGTTATTCATCAATGCGAGTAGACATAATCTTCTCCGACTGTACATTCATCCCAGACCACGAACTAAGTACCCTCGGCCTCAACGTTTCATATCCCAAGCACTCATCTATCTTCAGGGCAGTATCTTCCACGCATACCAGCACGGAAATGTCTTGCTCCGCAGCTGACAACATCATCTCAACCCCCCAAATCTCGTTATCTTCTACACCCCCAACCGTCCACCCTTAGCCGCATCAGTCCTCTTCCTGGCTCAGATTAGTGCGTCAAGTCCCCCTGCGCCTCGCGAAAGCTCGTCGCGCTGACTGCGGCTCTTGTGGACTTGGACGGTTCGAAGGTTAGTCCGGACTTGCTTACGCAGTGTGGGTTGTGCTGGCGCTGTGAAATGCCGGTGAACTTCGAACCATGATGGGTGCGTACTAATGCCGAAGCTGCTGATGGTGTTTTGTCTGCTGCGTCTTTGAATGCGCGGTTCTTTGCTCGACAAGGCAGCGGGGATACGCTATTGTTCTGGTTGAAGAGGGAGGGTGGTGACTATGAAGAAAACTGTCTTATGATGGCGGGATTTTATATTTACACAGAGGCTGGGCCATCCAAGGCTTTGTGGTCACGCTGCGAAGTGGTGGAAGGGTTAGAAGGAAGGCCTGTTTTTCATGACTTGGGTCCTTTGGAAAATGGGACGGAATTGGAGAGAGAAAGTCTAGACTTAGTGTCGCGCAGGTTATTAGATTGGAAGGAGTGTCGGGTATCTTAATTAGGTTGGTTGTCGTCGAATGTGATTGGTCGGCGAACAGTGGGAAGTGAACGAGCGACTTGAGAAGTACCGTGGATGTATTTATGGCTGGTCGATTTTTGAATGCTGCGGATTAAGGAAACTTGACTATTGTAACACCAAGTGTGATGATCTGGAGAGTACCTATTCCTGTGATCGATTCTGCATGACCACTGTCTATCCCGTTGATGTGAAGAACACGGCAGAACGCGTAATTATATACAAAGGGAAGTTAAGCGATCACGTGACCCAGCTAATTGCAGCTCGCGGCTCAGGGGAGGCTTGAGCCTCATGAGGCTGACCTTGCTGGTGGCGTGCGTCGCGAAGCAACTTCTTACTTATTGGCGTGCCCGAATATTGAACTCAGACGGTTTCATGTCGCGAACGCCACATCGAGAGCCTGACTTCTCTGGGAAGATTGTAAGTCTTGACTAGTAACTATTTTCAAGCAGAAAAATCGTATATACTTAGATAATTAGGTGTGACAAGATTACGCTATGGTGACCATTTCTTAGACGCCTCCAAGCAACCCACCGTGGGTGAGTTTTATTTATTCACTGCGACAGGCACCTGCTCCCAATAACCCTTAAAATAGCCGAATCCGAAGTTTAAATAGCCACAGATAATCACTTGAATCATATGCTGATACCGAACCTGTAAACACTTATCACCTTTACGCGATGAAAGCAGGAGATTCCAGACCGCACCTTCTCACCCTACCGAGAGAGATCCGCAACCAGATCTACGATTACCTTCACCGAACACTGGAGTTACGCGGAGTCAAGAGCCTGGGTCCGTCTCAGGTGTTCGTTCGACTCGACAACGCGCCCTATCCCAGCTTGTACAGTGTGCATTCACGACTGTGCGCTGAGTATCTCGAGTCTGGCCCTACCAAGAGTCTATCAGCTCTGATACTCAACCGTCTCGACTATGACAACAGGAATTACTGGTCCAAAGATGCAGGGGTTATCTCACGGGATGAGATTGCGCTGAGTCACGTCAGAATCGTAACTCTGCGTATGACGATGAGAAAGTGGATGCCGGGATCCACCACAACGCAAGTGATCGACGCTCTCGGGACAAAGATTGCAGAACTTCGAGTCATTAGAGTGAACGAAATCGCACCCATTTATTTGTCGATCAAGGAGGAGCTCCCAGAGCATGCCAACTGGGCCACTCGGGATTGGATCGAACCACTACCGCACGTCCTGCTCGCACTGACGCGGATCCAACTGATCAACTGTCGAGAAATTGTGACTTCCGAAATCAAGAAGCCGGGCGAGATACCGTACCAACACCACATCATGTGGCAGTGCAGAGCCCATGTGTACGGCTTGAGCGCCTCGAGTGGCGACCTGTGGACAAAGCAAGACGTCATTGACTGCCCCTCGCCCCCAGCTGGCTACACGGAGTGGGTCAACCAGTGGTGCAGAGATGATGAAAGGGTAGGACACACAAGTCTCAAGAGTTCGCGGATCGTGGTGTGGAAGGAGGAGAACTGCACAGAGCAGGATGGAAACGAGGTGGTGGACATCATGTTTGGTCCCGTCTAAGTCCGACTGTTACACACTGGCATTGAACGACATGCAAGAACGTTTTTACTTAAGACCTTTGTGAAGATTAGAGGTTCTAAAAGAAAGCAAAGTCATAGAAGATTTATGCCTAGGTCCTAGAAGCTCTTTTAACAAAGGAAGTGTGCAGTCTAGCAGTTTTGCTATTTAGGGTTTGCAAATTGCAACCTATACATGCCTGTGAGCTAGCAACTATCACTTGTATCGCACGTCCGCAAGAAGCACGATCACGCAAGCAAGGTTTTGTTCAAAGATGCAAATGCCTGGGTAGCGCTGACAGAAATCTTCGCTGACATGCCACAAGACCAACATCTGTACGACTTAAAGCCTAAGTCCTAGGCAGATAGTGTTAGTAACCTCCAAGTCACAGGCGCCATTAATAGTTATATGAGGAGGAGGTATCTCTACTGGCTAGAAGGGCTTAGTCTGTGCAGAAGTATGGGAAAGGGAGTAATTTCATTAGCGAAACTATACTCACTAGTTGAGGTATGGCATGCTTAGATAACAAACCTATACCGTATAGTTGCTTCCTGTCGATGCTAACAACACTAGAAGATGCGAGAAGCAAATGAACTGACTAGGCTTATCCAAGATGCGCAACAATTTATTATATATCACAGCAAAACTGCTAAGTCAGACTGCATACTTCCTCTAGTAAAAGAACTTCTAGGACCTAGACAAAAATCTTCTATAACTTTGCTTTCTCTTAGAACCTCTAATCTTCACAAAGGTCTTTAAGGTTATAAATAGACACAGGGTACTAACAAAGTGTTATTAATTAACAGCATTGACAAACTAATTAACAGCACAGCCGGCATAGTAGCGCTTGTTGTCAGAGGCTAATAGACTGGTGGAGAGCTGACTTAAGAACGCTGCATATCCATCACAGGCCTGTAAATATGCGAACAAGAGACTCCGAAGGTCCCGAGTGCGAGCCTGTCCCGTTACACCGTGCGTCCCGGCACGCAGGGACGGACGTTAATTGCACGGAATATGTCTTGATCACCCAGCACATATCAACTATGCCTCGAACCACATTCAGAATGATGCTCATTCCGATTACATCGCGCTTTCATCTCTTGAACCTTCCGCGTGAGATCCGCAATCACATTTACAGCTACGCTTATCATGTGCTTTGCCTAGACAAAGAGGAACTACACAATGATGAGTTTGACAGCGAATTAGAAACAAATGGATCGACCGGGGGAGCTCCCCGCCGTTTCAACGACTTGGTGTCGATGGAAATCCACAATGCGCCCTGTCGTAGTCTATTTTTTCACCAACGCTCAACTATCCGCGGAGGACAGAGAGGCAGTGTGCTTCAAGAGCGTCTCAGCGACTGTGATCATCGATCTCTCTGATCCTCTTAGGGCTCCACTGCCTAGGTTACAAACTCACCATGCCGAGCCTATGAGTAAATCATGGCTTAGGGCAGACGACCAATTGCATATCCTCACAGTGTTGATCGGTCAGCCGGAGACTTTGTATCCCCCCCACGACTACTGAAGTATACCAGAAGAGACGGTCAACTACACGCTAGATTGGATCACTTCCATAGTGACCGAAATCCCAGACTTAAGAGCACTGCGGGTGATGCAGCGGAATCGCCGGGATATCTGTGCGCGCCCAAATAATAATCTGTTACTGCGTGAGCAGTGTTGGTCGGAGACTGTGATCAACGATTGTATTGTTATCTGTTGTCGTGTTATCTGTTGTCGTGTTATCTGTTGTCGTGTTGTGTGATGTCGTGATGTCATGATAAACAAGCTCTCAGCTCTCAGGTAAGTGCACTTGCCCACCGGGCAGTACCTGCTACAATAGGATATCATGTGATCGAAGCCACGTGGTTACAAGGAATTGCAATAACTGCGACACAGCCTCATCTTATCGCAAACATAGTCATGCTTCTATGCGGAACCGATCCCACGGCCGAACTAGAAAAGACCAATCGGGATACACTAGGCATTTTGTCCATTCATAAGCGTTCGTTGGTATTACCAGTTTCGCTGCATCACGAACGTACCTCTGTCAAAGCACGGTCATGTATAGGACCCAAGCTAGCAAGAAGTAGTTTAGCTTCACGCCGTTCATGTCTAATGCCATGCCGAATATCTCTGGTGCATCTCAGGACGCAGAGCTTTCGACGCGAGAAGAAGACCTCGCCTTAATCCATCAGCTTGGCCAACTCGATCCACTCGTTCTCTCATGAGAAGTGTTTGCGCACGCGTGTATCACCTCCGAGCCGAAGATCTCGACATCCATTCATAAGGCGCTACTCAAGAAATCTCCGACCATACACACCGAAAAGATCACGAAGCTGCGCAAACCAAGTTCCAGGAATCACAAGCCAGGCGCAGGAGAAGCTTATTGTCAAGCCTCAGCTCCGGCCACTGAGGCAAGCAAGCCCAAAAATTATCATGGCTCACACTGATAGTGAGCCCGTGCCGGAACAGTACTGATATCGTCAACCAACCTGGGTCAGAGGTGGACATTGCCACATGCCCGGCCTGACACTTATCAACTTTCTGTTCTTCAGGGAAGAAGAGGGCCATCGATGGAGGAAGCTAATTGGGGAGCTGGAGGAGTCAAGGGTCGTCATTATCGAGGAGGCCGAGAATGGAGGTAACGTCGGAATATATGAGAAGCGACTGGCTGAAGTGGAAGGAGAGATGCGACTGCGACCGGGCTTGGGATCGCAGCAGGCGCAGGCGAATGCGCAGCTACCAGACTGCCCTCTAAAGTGGGACCGCGGCTTATGATTTTGAGCCTTAAACCTAAGGCAGGGATCGATGAAGATATTTTGGGTTTTGTGAACATGAGGATTTTCGGTGCTGTTCCCTGGTAGATCGTAGGTAGCGTTTTGACATGTCATCAACGCTAGCTTCATTAGGACTGTGCAATTTCAGTATTCAGTAATCGTGCACAACACAACGCCCCATACCTGCGTACTCTGTTCGCACTCTCGATACCTGCTGAACAGGCTCGGTACTTCGTTTATGGTTCCAGAAAAATAGCAACTGCGTAACTCAGTTGCTGTTAGCATTACGGGAGCCTGAAAGATTGTGCACGTTACGAAACTGCACCTGCAGAACCACAGCCTGGAGCATCTATAAATACATCCGTACTCGTTGCACTTGCGCGACCGCAATAATGACGAAAGATTGGGACGCTGTGCAGGATGAGATCAAGGAGCTATCTTTCAATCAGAAGAAGCCTTTGAAGGAGGTGAAGAGGCTAATGGAGCAGAAGTACAAGTTCAGAGCTTCGTAGGGATTGCCTCATCCCAAATTTTGCACATTCTCACGTATTACAGAACGAGAGCATACCGCATGAAGCTTAAGGAATGGGGTCTGACGCGACACAAGGGCCGCAAGGCGCGCCCGGAGCGCGATCGCGGCAACAGCTCTGCACGAGATGACGGACCAACCAGAACGCCATCAGTGCCTGCTGAGCCTATGGCAATCGATTCCGAGTCTTTGGGGTATCTTACGAAGACAGGTGGCTGGCAGGTCGTCAGCGATGGTGAGCTTCCGAACGCTGAACCCACCTTCACGGGCACGCTCAATCAGACTCCAAAGTACGTTGTGGACACTACTTTACCTTCTTTCATACTGATCGGGAACAGCTTGCAATCTCCCATTGCGGCCCCAGTGTGGATGCAAGATCCACCAGTCGCCTCTAATTCACTCCAGGATATGCTTCAATGTGTACTGGACAATGATTGTGAGAAGCTCGAGAACATCCTTCTAGAGCACGTCAACCAGGTGAACGATCCTATCGGCATGCCTTTCGAGGTACCCAGCAGTCAATTTGCCAATCACCCTGCGCTGACCCAAATGGTCATCATGCAGCACCCTCGTCAGACCTTGCTCGACATCGCATGCGGCATGCCAAACGGACCTGTTGTGTGGGTGCTCCTGACGTATGGTGCGAAAGGCTCGACGCATCCGTTAGGCACAGACCTGGCATTACACAATGCAATCAAGAATGGCCGACACTACACTGTACAAGCACTACTGATTCCGGGTCGGTCGGAAGTGAATGGCCTTCCAGGTAAGCGCTGGAGACCGCTGCTACAAGCAGTCTTCTGGACTGGACCCGAGATAGTCAGTATCCTACTCAAACGGGGGGCGAGGGTAGACGATGTTGGACCTTCTCCCACAAGCTCAGGGATGCATACTGCTCTGCAATTGTGTTTGGAACGTCGTGCGCGAGAGTATGACGATGAGGCGGTTCGATCGAAGTGCAACGAAAACTTGAAGCTGCTGCTCTATGCTGGAGCGAGCATACACGTCTCACCTCCGGAAGGATCCACTGCTAGCCCTTTCGAAATGTTCATAGAGCCCTGGTGCAACTACGATCATTGGAACATGAGGCTTAGCCGGGCAGAGATGGACTGTCTTGGGAAATTTGTCGAAAGAGGCGCCGATCTTGCTGCAAAATTCCTTGGTAGCCCATGCGCAGCCGGTTCGAGCAACACGTTCATTCACCAGGTCCTCTGGCACTCACCTCCCTGCCTCTCACGGCAAGTGGTGCAAAATTTTTCTGCTACTGCTCCTCTGAGTGGCAAAACTATGCTTCACGAGATAGTAAGTCCCTGTGCGGACGCGAAGCGACATTGTGGAGAGGCTTTAAACGACATCGAGCTGCTGTTCAAGCAAGGGGTCGACCCGAATGCACTCGACAGCCTTGGCGTAACGCCACTGCGGAAGTGTATTGAGCAAGTTTCAGGTACAGATGTCCTGGCGATGACTCAGAAGCTGCTTGACGGGGGTGCGGATCCGGAATACGAAGACATCGATGGCGTCCAACCGTATATTGTTGCGGCCCTAACTCTACATGACCCTTTACGTTTTGAGGTCCTCCGGAATATGCTCGCAAAGATGAAAGGACATCACACGAAGACAAAAGAGGGCCGGACGTACAGATGGGAACCTGGCTTGTTTCCGATCCCTGATGAGCCCACTTCCCAGCAAGTCTTGGCTTGTACAAAAGATGACGGCGATTTTCGACGCTCGATGCATGAAATGGTCCCTATAGACTTACAAACAGCTGTTCAGTGTGCTTATGTCGCCGTCATTACGGGAAGGCTGCTCGACAATATCTCAAAAGCAGCCGTGGTGAACAAGATCAGCGAGAAGGATCGATGGGACATGATACTTACGCTTTCGCTACGTAAGGGAGTCAACCTGCCGAACTATCAATTTGACCAGGAACTCGTCATAAACTTGCTTGATATCCCCAAGATGGGCACGATAGAGATGAGCGCTGCTATGACGCCGCGGATACGTGCCGAAAGCCCTGACGATAACTCTACCCTACAGGCACGCCTCCCCGAAGATGTTGAGGTGGACACAATCCCGGCTTACCAACCATTCCAGCTGAATACAAGTAGTCAATCTACCTTGGTTCGTCCGTCGTCAACTCCGCAACAGGCATACAACTCTCCTAGTAGCAATGATGCTCTCGTGGGCGATACCACACAACTTCGCTGGCTCGATCCGGAATCATCTAAAGCCTCTGCCCCAGTTGCGTCTTACGTACTGCAGTACAAGTGTGCAGTATGCGCTGATGGCCGACTCCTGACAAAGACCGAGTCGCAGAAGCACGTGGATGAGCATGCACACACTGAGCAATGCGACGGCGTCAGTTGCACACGGCGCTTCTGCAAAAGAGCGCGGAACAATAAAGGAGTGTAACTTGGGTGTCAAGATCATATATTTGCTCCCCGGGGGAGCATTTGAAGAACATGAACCAAACTCCTTCCCGAAGATCTCCTCGAGCGTTAGCACCTTATTTCGATACTCAGAAGACCACGAGATTCTGCTGCAGCTTTCTTCAAGCCTGCTGCTGTATGGTTCTTGGTCTCATTGCCGTGGTAGCGGCCACCAGACTCCTGACAGAAACCGAATTGAGTTTCACCATTTCGAGTGCACCGATGCCGTACGGGTCCAGGTCTTGCTCTCTGGGAATCTGTTCGAAGCGAGCCTTCTTGCCGGTTTTTGAGCGAGTCGTAGACTTCGTTTGAGGCTGAAAGGAGCAGGTGTTGAGCCAACAGATGCATTTGCGGGTTCAATCTCCGTCTTTCACATTCATAAAGGACAGTTGCAGACGACAACGTCCCAAGAAGGTTGCTGCCAGCACGAGCACAGCCTCTTGGCGATGCGGCTGTGATCGTTGTGTGGAGGAGGAGCTGTCAGGCGGGCTCTGGATGTGGGGCTCACGCGCGGCCAAGTGACGCTAGTGGTTTATCTGATCAAATTTTACAGTGGATCTGATAAAATTCGGCGTTAGGCCAATCGCATCCGCAGCTCACCATCCCTTACCGTCAAACAACGAAGTGGTTGTCAGGATGGTGCCAGGACTGCCGGAATGCAATTTGTGGACTGATCACTTCCGGACATGCCGTTACCGATACCGGTGCAGGGCGGTCTGAGCGGGGCTGCGCGATAAAACGCCGAAGAAATCCGGCTCTTAATCTTATCAATCGGTAATCAGATCATCAGTCTTCCTTTTCCTCCATCCCACCTTTCTACTTCTCAGACCTGTTATCAGATTGATTTTCCTTACAATGAGGATGCCAAACCTTACCGATGCTATCGGTGGCATGTCGCTGTCGTCACCGCACCGCGTTCTTGTTGTCGGCTGTGCATACGGAGGCATCGCTGCGATTGTCAACCTCCTCGAGTTGAATGACGGCAAGGCGAGACAGCCCATCTATCCAGGACCAGATTTCAATGGAGCAAAGAGCAGGCGAGGCATCGAAGTCACCGTGATTGACGAGCGCGATGGATACTGTGCGTCATCAATCTCTTGGCCCCACTAACCGAGGCTTCAAGTCTGTCTTTCAACGCGTTTCTCATGCTGCAGATCTCATACTGACCGGGGTATTCTACAGTCCACTCGGTGGGAGCTCCGCTGGCACACGTAGCGCCAAAATACACAAGTCACATGTGGAAACGCTTCTCGCATCTGAACGAGCTGAAGCAGCCAAATTTGACATTTAAGCATGGCTCAGTCAGAAGAATTGACCCAGACGCCAAAGTTGCCGAATGGGCTGATCGCAGCGGCAAGACCCAGCAGCACGCGTATGACTATCTGGTTGTAGCTACAGGTCTCAAGAGGCATTGGCCCGCCGTGCCAAAGTCTGGTAGCTACGAGGAGTATCTAAAGGACGGGAAGGCCTTCATTGAGAAGATCACTGGCAGCGATGAATCGAATCATGAAGGGCGACGGGTGGTCATCATTGGCGCTGGCGCCGTAGGAATCGAGTTTGCTGGCGAGATCAAGACCTACTACCCGAAGATCGGTGTTACACTGGTACATTCTCGCGACCAGGTTTTATCGTCGGAACCACTACCCTCAGAACTCAAGGACCGTGTGGGTACCATGCTCAAGGAAGAGGGTGTTGAGGTTGTCCTCGGCAACAGAGCGAATATCGAGGAGCTGGCCAATGGTAAATTCGAGGTTACACTGGCAAATGGCGAGAAAATCACAGCGGACTTCGTCATCGATTCAACAAGAAAGGGCACGCCTACCACAGACATTTTGCCAGCAGCCTGTTTGAACGAAGACAAGGAGGTGAAGGTTGACAACAGCCTCATGTTCAAGGACACGATCGCCAACCACAAATACCACTTCGGTGTTGGCGACGTGATTCAATGGACCGGCATCAAACGCGCTGGAAGCGCAACGGTCATGGGCCAAGCTGCAGCCATGAACATTTATTCTTCAATTTTGAACTCCGAGTTGCCAGAGTCAGCACCAGAAGCTGACCGCTACGGCAAGACTGAGCTCCCTTCTTGGGATGCTGTCATTGGCATCGCAGTCGGCAAGCAGTGTCTGACCTATGATCCGAAGAACGGCATCAAGTATGGCCCCGAGGTATTACAGTCCTACTTCGGGGAGGACCTGGGCTGGAGTGCAAGTCTCAAATACATGGGTTTGACAGACACCATCGATCCCGTCGAGCTCGAGATCAAAGAGCCTGAGGCAACAAAGCTTACAGAGGTTGGAATTAATCCCGTCAGCATCACAGCATAGGCTATCGTTGCGCCGCGCTTGGCTTGTTCATCTTCACTACTGATCAACTTTTAGCTAGCCCTTGGTAATCCCAAAGCAAATGTGCATACATGTTCCAAGCCTCGTTCCAAGACAGACATCAAAAGACAATCTTCACAACCCTCTACGAAAAAAAATAGGAAGCAGCATAATTAGTTCGATGGGTCAACGGACCTTGGAAGGGACAGCATCGTGGAGAAAGTGGGGCCCGTTAGCGTGAACAGACCGCGTCATGGTCGCTTCGGTCGTCACGCTTCCACACGTTTTCCATCCACCTTAGAATACTTCTTTTCTGCACGCGTCGTACCTTAATCATGCCTGCATTCCTGGTCGAGGCTCTTCCCATAGGTAAGTCGGACTGACCCGATGAAACTTCAAGGGTCATAGTGGCTGTGTCGCGATCTCTCATTTCCGAACGGGCCTTCAGTTGTGGGCATCAACACCGACTCTTGAGTGCAGCCCAAACCCATGAAAGAGGCGCCCCTTTTTGAGAAGACTTTTCAGAGCTTTGATGTTCCAAGGGTTCTTTGGCGAGTCCACAGTGACGATTTCGGAGCACGATCCACTTCCCCAGTTCCTTGTTCCCGGCTCTTGGGCCGTGCAGGATTGTCCCAACGGCCGATCTGCACTGTACGTGAATGCCGTTGTACCCAATATTGGTCCGTGATTGGGCATGCAGGGCTGTAGAACTGCTGCCAACGGGTAGCTTTCGCAGCGATATAAGAGGAACGACAGCAGATGTAAGATTACAAAATACCGAGCCAAAGCACAGCAACGACGAAGCATCGATACATTAAGTCCTCTACGACGTCGCGACAACGCCATTTCAAGTCACGGAAAATGAGCGATACAGAGTCTATTGACGATCTCGACAGGATCGCAGAGCTGAAGGACCAATGCCTACGTATAACAAAAAATGCCCGTATTGTTAACTCGTTGCTTATTTGAACCAGGTGAAGCAAGCAACGTCACTGGTCTCAAAGGCAGAAAGCTCGTTGTGGTCCTCCGACGGTCGTCTGGAAACGAGGGCGAATACTACTGCGCGCTCAGAGGCCAGAGCGACGGAAAGTACCTGAAGCTTTGGATGAACAAGGATAGGACGTACCCTTCCCATGTTGAAGCGATTGAGGCTTATCTCCGCTTTGTCAAGAGGATGAGAAGTGGGTGCAGTTTATTTGGACCATCGCCAAAACCGAGTCGAACAAGATGAGCAAAGACGAAGGCCCAATCGTCTTCCATACAAGTGGGCGCCATACCCCATATCGCCATCAGTTTTAGGCATAGTCCCGGCCCTTCGAACTTGTCTCGCCTACTCACTGGCAATGGTCACGGCATAAATGCGCGTCCACAAAGTGGCCAACCCGGCCCGAGCTGATCTCATGAGTTGGCCTACATCTCACCTAGGCACACTCTGATCGCAGATATTGGCCAGATACTTGGAGCTGCACGAAAAGGTGTTATCGCATGGAGCATTGAAAGGCAGTTCGCTTGGAAGAAGAAGAAAGAAGGACTTGTGGCTCATTCTGATAAACAATGGGCCAGGGCTCCATCGGCCAAGTCTGGCCTTCCGTCGAAGACAGCAATGGCACATATCTCGTCTCGGAGGGCGCGCAGATCAATCGACGCATATCAATTCCTCTAATTCTAACTTCGATCAGAATTCGTAGCTCTTGTTTCAACCCAATTCTCAGCCTGTTTCCTCCCCCTCATCGTCACTTTCACCCCGCTGTTGTCTGTACATGTACTCTTCCTAATCTCGAAACTTGTCGAGTTCTAACTTGCAACGTCAACGATCTGTCCACCGGCCTTTGATTTCGGCTTCATCTCTGTAACGGCAGCTTACACAAATGTAGCCCCTGGATGCCTCTGTAGAAGGTTGCTCTTCCTCGACGGCAAGACCGCCACAATTCCGTTGTTCTCGTGAACACATTAGGCACTCATCGTCGCTTAGCTCATTATAGTAGTACAGGAATTCATCACAGTACGATGAAACTCGTTTTGTAAGCAATCACTAAGCTGATTACTTAAATACCCCTCTGCTCTAGCCACGTACTGCTATGCTAGCACACATAGCTTATAATAATTTTTGTTTCTCACGTAAGTTATACCTATAGCGCATGCAATTTGAATTTATATAGGCTATACGTTTAAAGAGAACTAGGTTCTGTTGTTACTTTTGCGTGCTGCGCAAGGGGACGGTGTTTTTACGTTCCTAGAAGCGATCACACATAGAGAACGAGCTTCTTCAGGTATATCGATGAGAAGGCGGCGGTCATCTTTCTCTGGGACGTGAAGGTCGAGGGCAACAACAGGCTAGACCGCTTCGATGATGAGAGCGGGGCCGCTGCTTCCCTGCAGCTCGAGCTTCGAGCAGGGACGTCGTCGTCACTACCGCCGCAACCCTCGGAGCAGCGCGTCGCACCGCAACACCTGAGGTCACTGGTCTCTTGGTGTGAGATTAGTTCGAACTACTTGATAATCTCACATCTTGCATGCGCGCCCCATGCGGGCATTGCACGACTATGCAGCACCAATCCCTCGTGTCGCCTCTCCACACGCATTTCATTATGACGACACGATGCTGCGCTGAACGCGTCTCTGGGGCATAGTCGTAAGTATAATTACGACAACTCGAATTGACACGCAAGGACATATACCTTCGACTTTACACAGCAGGACACGATCTCCTCATTAACACCTTAATTCTCAACAAACCTGACCAGAGCTGGCTTACAGTATGGAAGCTGTCAAGAACGCCATCTTCAGCAATACTTTCGACCCAGACACGGAGATGCCAGACCTCAGCGGCAAGGTGAGATGAACAGTGATTTTACACTCACTACTGCTTCGCTCACGCGTTTCCAGGTCTACATCGTCACGGGCGGCTCAGCAGGCATCGGCTTCGGCATCGTCGCGCATCTCCTCCAACACAACGCCCAGAGGATCTACCTCCTCTCGCAAAGCGAACAACACGCCACTGAAGCACAAGATGCGCTCAAGCACTGGGGAAACGCCAGCCGGGTCGAGTGGAGGCAGTGCAATCTCGAGTCCTTTAAGCAGACAGACGAGGTCGCACGGAAGCTCTCGAAGGAACTGGACAGGCTCGATGCCTTGATCTGCAATGCCGGTTTGGGTGTTGGTGTATACAACGAGAGCGAGGACGGACTGGACACACACATGCAGGTCAACCACTTTGCTCAGGCCCATCTGATGCTCACACTACTGCCTATCTTGCAGAAGACGCCCGACTCGCGCCTTGTTGTTCAGTCCTCGGATATGCACAGACCTGCGAGTGCTAACATCAAATTCGCGTCTATCGATGAAATGAACCAGGACATCGGCGCTATGCAGCTGTACAACCGCACAAAGCTGGCCCAGATTGTCTTCCTTCGTGAGCTGCTGCTGCGCATCAAGGCCGGTCAATTTGGCCAGGTGACAGGCAACACCGGTCTTCCCTGGATTAATGCTACACATCCAGGCGGTGTTGTGACGGACCAGCAAGACCAGGCTATCGAGGCTTATGGCATACTCGGCAAAGTCGGTGTCGCTGCAGTACGTCCCTTGATGAAGGATCCAGTCAAGCAGGGTTGCCGGCCTATTTTGTTCGCCGCGACGCATCCTGATATTGTCAAGGAGCAGGTGCAGGGTTCCTATATTGTACCAGACCGTAAGGTTGCGGAGCCTTCAGACCAGTCGAAGAGCCCAGTACTGGGCCTGAACCTGTGGAAGTTGACAAGACAAATCCTCGAGCAGAAGATTGGCAACTTGCCATACACAATGCAGGACGATGGGGTTTACCCGAGGCATCTGAAAGAGCAAGGTCTTGTCAACTAGATAACAGGAACGATAGGCTATGACATTCTCGACTTAAATCCAACCTCATGATACACGAACGAACTACTAGTACCATGCTTTTCTAATTCTTCTCCGCTAGCTCCTGATCCACACCATCCGCCATATCAGCCAACGTGTCAAACTTCCACGTAAACACAGGATCCTCACGGTTCCCCATCACCGCTCCCGGCCTATAGATCCAACTACTGCTTATCCCCACCTCCTTCGCCGGATGGTGATCATGAAATTGGCTCTGCGCCGTCTGCAGCACCTTGCCCCTCTCAACCCCAAACTCCTCATTCACATGAGCGAGCATGTACTCAAAGTTCCTGAGATTAGGCTTGTAAGACCCAATATCTTCCGCCGTATACACGGCATCGAACTCAAATCCTTCAAGCGCCTCTGCATTCCCGGCACGAAACGAGTCGTTGTCGACGTTCGACAGCACGACGAGTTTGTACGTCCTCTGCAGCCGTTTCAGCGCCGCCACGGTGTCGGGGAACGCGGGCCAGCTCCCCACGCTCGCGCCAAACGCACGACTTTGCTCTGCGCTCGGCGTAACGAGTCCTAGCTCTTGGCATAACTTGGGGTGCACGGCGGTCAGGACGTCTGCGTACTTCCAGCCTGGATGCTGCTTTTCGACGTCCGATTCAATCGTGTGCAGCACCGAGAGTATGTGCTTCTCGTCGAGGTCGCGGTTTTGTGTTGTCTTGAGGATGGGTTGCAGGGCGGTTAGGGCGCCGCGCTCCCAGTCTATCAGTGTGCCGTAGACATCGAAGGAGAGGAGCTTGAAGTCGGTGAGCTTGGCCATGGCTGGTGCTTTGATTTGAATTGAGTGGTGGAGTATTGGTGGTATCTTGGGGTTATGGATGGTGAGCACACATCTTGCATGTCGTTGATTGACCATGGGCATCCTGATCTGGGCGCGCCCCACTTCTGCCAATGACGTTGCGGGGTTGATGCAAATGCGCCCTTCGAGGTACACGCTTATCTCGACGATGGCATGACAGATTCATCGGGTTAAGATCTTTGCTTATTACTCGACTAGCATGTTAAGGGTAGATGACTGCTTCTGCGAGCATAAATTGCGAGTAAGTGCCGCATCACAATACTACTCCTGAATAAGACCAAGAACCGTTCATTAATATCATGACATGTTAACTATTACTTCGAGCTCACTTATTGAGCCTCTTAGCACGATCCTCGTCTCTCCACCATGCACACTGCTCCATCCTAATACCCGCTGCTTCCACCTCCATCTGCGCGCCGCCCTGCGCAGGTGGGCTGACAACGAGTTGGTTGCCTCCAGTCCCGGTGTATATCTCCCACTTCGGAGCCCTCGAATCAGCATAGGTGTTTGGATCACCGCTAACCACGAAGCTGGCGAAGTAGGCGCTGTAGATCTCCGCGATCTCAGGGTACTGTGTGCCAACTTGACCGTTATAGTAGCCATTGTCACTTGCATGAGGAGCACCCAGGTATGTAGGCGTCCAGTTGGGAGTGTTGAAGCGCGCCTTGTACACTGGGGCACCTGCTGCTGCAAGACGGCTGGCAGTGTCTTGCACCGGACAGGTATAGCTGTAGTCGCCATATGCGGCGCTGATGCGCTGAAATTGAGGACTGATGTAGTCCTCAGTCACGGGTAGGAAGGGGCTCTGAGCGCCATAAGTCGTAGGGTCTGGGTATAGGCGCTGCACGTCCTCGAGGTCGGCCGCTGTGAGGCCGGGTGCGAGGTTTTGCCAGAATTTTACAAACTCGGCATTTGTGCGTAGATCCTGAGGCGCAAAGGGGCTGCCATCATTGGTGGCGGAGGAGATGAGGATGGGGATCTTGAAGAATGTACCATCTTCACCAGAAGTGGAACCGCGCTTCTCGATAAGAGGGCCTGGAGAGACGGGTTGCCAGGGCCATGTGATGTTGTAGTTGGAAGCGGAGTACAGGGCAGACGACATGAATTGGAGGTCATCGACATCAGCCGCGCGTAGACATGCCATGGCCGCGTCATTGGGTGTTGTTGGGCAATTGAGGTAGTCCATGAAATCTGCGAATTGACGCTGGTACAAGGCGTAGTCGACTCCAGGGAAAGCACGCGCAGTAGGCGAGCCAGAAGCCAAGATAGCTTGTGCGAAGAGGGGCTTGCCAGTGTCCTCGCCGTAGTTATGGAACAGGTGGATGCCAACAGAGTGTCCACCAGCGCTGAGGCCACCGAGTGTAACTCGGTCCTTGTCACCGCCGAAGGAGTCAGCATACTTCTGTACGAACTCCAGCATCTGGCGCTGGTCACGTACACCCAAGTTCAGACCATCCTCCTCTTGCATGAGCTTGCTGGGTATATTGCCGATCGCGCCAAGGCGGTATTGCATCGTGATGACCATCACAGGCTGAGCACTCCTGGCAACAAACATGGCACCATCAAAGCTCTTTGAAGAACCACTAACGAATGAACCACCATGTATAAAGATAAATATGGGCAACTTCTGATCGAGAGGGACGCCAGATGGCCGGAAAACGTTCAGGTTGAGACAGGCTTCAGACTGCAGCGTTGAAGAATACACATTCTGCCAGCATGCCGGTCCATACGTAGTGGCATTTTTGACACCATCAAAGGCTGCTGGCCAGGTGACAGGCTTGAATCGATCTTCGCCGACTGGCTGTGTCGAGTAGTCAACACCCAGCCACGCGTCGACGGGTGTACTGAAGTTGGTCGTCTGGGGAAGATTCGAAACGACTTTGATGCCCTGGAACGATCCGTATCCGGGAAGTGTTACAATGAGGTCTCCATCAGAACCGTAGGTGGGCGAGTCTTGTGTTGGTCGCCCGAGGCTAGGGGTGCCAAACACCCAGAATAAAAGGGTTGTGGTACCAGCGAACAACATGATAATGATAAAATTTCTCTTAAGCCACCTGGACGACCTGCGTTTTTGCATGGGGGCTTCACCTCCATTTATGAGCGGCTCGTCCTGCGAGTCAGCCATGTGTAGAGCTCAATTAGACTCGGCTAATCTGCGGTAGCACTGTAGGTGCAGGAGCCAAAAGACGGACTAGAATGATGCCGGCCCCGATTAGCGCAATGTTAGGTGCTGTCGTCGGCGTCACGGTCGCGATGAAGTCCGGACTTGCGATGTTTAGGGCCTGGACGAGACTGAACGAAATGCGGGGATGGCTCGTGCAGATGGTAGATACCGACACTATGTCATGCTTGGTTAGCACACTTCCAGTTTCGGCCCGGTCGGCTGCAACATTTCGCGCGGAGATTTACCTTTGCAGCGAGGCGTCATGTTCTCCTCGACAGCGGGACACAAACAGCAGATGACTCGGATCCACTTCAATCACCGCCGCTTGCGTACACCAAGGCGCCATTAAAAAATATTCGACCTGAGCTCCGATGCTTGTGGACTTGCGACTTACCTACTGTCAACCTACTCCACATTCTGGTATGCCAAGGCCTTGTTCTGATGACGGTATCATAATATAGTCACTGTTCACGATTATTGCACGTCGTTGTTCTGGCCGCGCTTTACCAGGACTACTTTGCGTAGTGGAACGAGTACTACTATGTTGAGGAACGCCAGCGAAGACAAAGAGCCACGTGACCATTAACCGAGAGTAGGATCAGGGTCGTATTTCCAGAAGACGCACGGCAGGTGATGCAGAAATCCGGTGCATCGTTCGCACAGGGATGTCCTCTTATGAACAGCCTGTGCTGTGGTCCGGCGGACATGACGTTCGGCTCGAGGCAACGAAGAGTGAACACTGTAGAAGCTCAAAGGCATGGTTGAGGTTCAAGATAGTCGCAAAACTGCGTACATGAGGAAGTAAGAGGTAGCCCATTATTTATCGACAAAATCCCCAGGTCTGCAATTCCAGACAGGAGCGGACCGCTGTCCCGAGCAGTTGGAATGACGATCCGACATCGTTGTCCGGCAACTTCCATGCAAGGCACGACCTACTTTTCCTCAGCTGAGGCCTTCAAAAAATATCACTGACGAGCACGGCTGCTACTATCGAGTTTTTCTTGTGTGAGGGCCTTAGTTTTGAAGTTGTGCGACGGAGCTATTAAACAATACCGGTACCGTATTCTAGTGATCTAGTGTGCGGATCACTGAGCAAAAAGATCAGATGAATGCGTTCTATATAATCCATGGCCCCACTACAAGTTGCCGAGCTCCGTGGCTCAGCTGTGACAGAAGTTCATCCCACGAGTAATTACATGCAGCGGACGCCCGAGGGTTAATAAATTCGCATTGAAGTCCTGATCCAGTGTCACAGTATAACATGGAGCCGTCTGACAGCAACGTCTGCACACAATACTAACTTAAAGCATTCTACACCGAAAGCCCCGTGGACGCGATTTGCAATGCTGCTACCACCCAAATACTTTTCAACTCGTCTCCGCTCAGACCACAATCTTTAGTATGAAATGAGTATCTAAGTACGCTGTCGTATGTGCAAGCGCCTACCGACCTCAACCATGGCATGCTTCCCACGTAAGTCAATGGCTGGGACGGTTCAGAGCTTGAGTGGCACCTGCTCGCACATCAAGGAATGGTGATGTGTTGCGGTATCAATTGTAATCGAAAAACAAGTGTATTCTGTTGTTCTACTTGTGCCCGCCTCTCAAAGGGCTGGCTGCAGGGTCTATTTTCATGACGTGTTGGTGATGCAGCTGAGGAAGTAACACTACACACCACCAACAACAACACATGATCTGCTTCTCCTCACAACCGTTGCATAATGTCTGCGCTCTCCCTCTCTTATCTTTTTGATCAAGTATTTCCATATTGTGTCCTCACTGTTCGGACTGTACTCGAGGAAAATTACCATTACTTTAAAATCTCACTATCCCTGACGAACGATTTGCTTCTGGCGGCTCCAATGGCTGGTAGTTCGCCTGTAGTAGTCAAGCTGGATGATGATGATAAGAAGGCCTCGAAACATACTTCTAAATGGTAGTGAGCCATCGGCTTATAATGGAGTTCGAGTAAGTCTAAGCGATAACCAGTTCGAAAAATAAGATGCGCAACCATCGCGCACACATGGTGGTTTTGAATATGCATCTATCACCGCCTCATACATATATGTTCCATATTCCTGTCATTTGTGTTCCGCGCATATCCCAATGTGTGTGAGCGTCAGTCCCAGTCTAGTATTTGATCGGTAAACTACCTTCCGGACCTGACTTCGTTTGGCAACTTTTTCAAGAAAATCTCACTCCAATCGTAAATCTTGGGCCCGCAATCATCGCTACCATTCTCGCCACTGTTACTTCGCGTCTCCCAGCGTTCATGATCACCCAGAAGATGGAAACTTGTAGGAACATCTGTCCTGCCATTGGCATCCTTGTATCACATGCTGCCGATGATGACTGATCAATCCTGCAGGTTCAATCTTATCACACGTGTCTGCACAAAAGCTTTACATTGTACATGCATCATCTCATGCCAAGCGGTTAGGTAAGATGGGCATCGTTACTTCACAGTGCGCGCGGGACCATCGCCTGATTTACTCTCAGCAACACTTTGCAAACGTATAGTTAAGCATATCCTCGTAACATGGATCCAGACTATGAAGGACTTTACCGCGAACTATGGCAGCCTCGAATTTGTGGACCGACACGCGCAATGTACTTGGCTGGCCTTGCTAATGTACCACCGCCTACGGAATCCGACTTCGATGCCTGTCAAATCTGCTATCTCACCTGGAGGGAAACACCTGCAGAAGCAATAGTGAATACGGGCTGCCCAAAGCACGGCGATTTCCACCGTACATGCCTTCTGCCATGGTTTGAGAATTCTGGAACTTGCCCTTCCTGCCGAGAGGTGCCTTTCTAAACTGCTGCGAAAAAAATCTCCCCACGCATTCCAGTTACTCATGTCGACGAAGATCATCATGTGCTCTCGTTGGATGATCTCTTCGGTCATCCAGCTTCCGCTTACTGCGTAGTTCCAGCACGTCTTTCTTTCGACAACACTCCCCACTATATACAAGATGCTTGCTGCGAAACCATGCCTGGATCGGCTATCGATCTTCATGAGCATCTGACTGACGTGGAGTGCCTCAAGCTGCTTATCATGCTAGATCTGACGGTCGAATTCAAGGACTATGCAGAGAGCAAAGTTGCGTTTATATAGTATCGTCTGCACATAGACCCTCCTGAGAGTATTGGGATCGTCTGTGCACAGTGATTCCTATTGCTTGTTTTCCGACGTAGTGAGTCGGACGATGAGATCATCCAGGGTGAGGAAGATTCGGCAGAAGACCGACATGATGACGAGGAACATGTGTCTGACGAAGATGCTGAGGAAGATTGTCGCGGCAGACGTAGCCGCTGCATGTATCGATGGAAAACTGCGCTGAGTTGCTTGCTAGCTAGGAGGCGACCATATATACATATCCTGAGACGTGCTAGTCCAAGGTAGTCAACAGAGGTGACGATCAAGGCCTATAGGACCGACTTGCATCGCAACAAAGATGACTAATAATGACCAAAACGAGGAGTGTTGGTCCTTATTAGTCAAGGCCAGCGGTTTGAGGACTTGAGTAGTCAACAATTGATCATGAATGCACACCGAGAAGTCTAGGAAAAGCTTCCGCGTCGATGCTGAGACAGATCACACAGGACCCTTCTAGCGCGTAAGTGATTCAAAGAATAGAGATATTTCCATGAGCAGCACCCCTTCACTATCAACTCTTGACAAGTACTGCATACTACAACGTGATTGAAATTACACGAAATGATGATAATTTGGCGAACTACACTACCTATATGCACCGAAGAGAGTCATTATCGTTGCGCGTTACGTATATAATCTTCTAGCCGTAGACTGGCTTCTGAGTGTAGCCAGGGAACTGCTGCAGCAGCTTGGTGTCTATCTTCTGCAGCTGCGGGCAACCTAGCGGGCCAATAAGGGAGCCGATAGCGTCAGTGAGCTTAGTCAGGGCACCAAGGAGAATGTCGGGCTTGGCCTGTGCCGAGAGCTGGTAGACAAAGCAGCCGAAGTTGTTGCCATTGAGGAGTTCGGAAGATTTGAAGAGACCGCCGGTCAGATCTGCGACGTCAACACCAGCGAAGGAGTTGGTCTTTCCGGTGTTGCCACCGATATTGAGGAACTTAGGGTGGAGCTTGGCGGCATTGAGAGTGTCGACCAAGAAGTAGTCGACCTCATAGGGGTATTCCAAGGCACGCCTGTACCAGTTCTTGGGGATGCGCTCGGTTCCTTGCACGGCGTTGTAGTTTCCGTTTGTCCCCTCGACACCAAACCAAGACTGGATAGTATCATAGCTTAAGAGACCCTCAGGGTGTTCAGCACTGTGATTTGCCATGAAGCGGTAGATGAAAGTGTAGGCGGCGGGCTGCACGAGTACACCAGTAAAGGGTCCGTTGAAAAAGTTTGGGTTGTTTTCGATCTGCGTATCGAAGCGATCCGAGCGGAATTGTGTGAGGGAGTCAAGAGTGACCTGACCACCAGGCGAGTGGTTGATCATGTCCTGGAACTGTGCGGTCACAGTCTTATAGTTGTTTCCAGCCTCATAGAGGTCGGGCCTTGTTGGAGAAGCATCACCCTCGTACTTGTTGTGCGAGCCGGAGAGGCCGTTGCCCAAAACACCTGTGAGGCCGCCCTGCGCAAGGGACGGTGTGCCACCCATCGACCAGTTCAGAATGTCGCCATCAATGGCACCTCCCAGTACGGAAAGGAACAAAGCCAGCTGACTCCCCATTCCGACGACCTTCGTGGTTACGTCGATGTACTGCTGGACTGAGGCATATCCGTTGTGTGGGAGGAAGTCTAGGTATCTTAACAAAGATCAATCTGAGAATGTCCCGGTACTTACTATGGTTGGCAAAAGCGTTCAAGCCTGGACATGGTCCTCTGAGGTCTCCCGAGCCTGGGGGCACGTACTCGTGGCCGCTCCCCGGCCCGACATCGATGAGCTGCTTTTGTGCATTGAATGTGTTTGTGGGCTCAAAGAGTGCTGTGGCAGCATCCGCACCAGCTTGACGAGCCTCGAGCATCTTAGAAAGCTCTTTAGCGCGAGATTCGATCTGAGGGTCAGCGGCGGCAGCCTCGTACATCATGGCAGGGAATGCATGAGCCAAAGGTGCCAGACCGGCAACAAGAAGCTGTGATGTGAACTTCATGGTGAGAGAATGAAGAACTGAAGTGTGAGGTCGATGAGAATCTGGGATCGACTGAAGCAGCCCCCTTGTCTTATACCTTCAGTGGTCTACATTGTAGGTTGCTGATTTGGGATGAAGACAGCCTCGGCGAATGCCCAATCAGTGAGCAAGGAGGATTACCAGCTGACGGTAATATCCTTCCTGCGTCCAATGCTGCAACGATCTTTTGCTGCTTCACCTCGAAAGGCAAACACCCCGCCCAGACAAGTCGCACTCAAGTCCTCAAAGAGTAAGCCGATTCATGTTCGACGTCTGTAAAGTGCCGCGGCACCGCGGTCAACCACGTTCGTAGTCTTTATCCCCGCACACTGGACCTACACTAGTACCGGAGCGTCTCCGGGTGTGGCCATCCGTGAGCGTCTCGTGGGGTCAGCGTGCAGATCATCCGCTCTTATTTCCTGTTACGGGTAGACTATGTACACATCAAGTCACGATGTACCTGGGTTTTTGAATCCTGAATCATCTAGCCTTGCTTTCAGCAGGCGTGAATCAGACCAAATAAGCAATGCAGCAACGTGATGTGGCGAGGTCTGCAGCATGACCATTTGGATGCTGGCTATTGGTGCGCCCGCGAATTCGAGCGGACGAGAGCTCAAAAGAAGAACCTGCTCATGTAAGGGGTTTAGAATTTCATTTGAGTTTGCACGGATTTGGAAATCAGTCGCTCAAAAGGGAGGAAGGTGGCGGCCAGCGTCGCCGACTTGGAGTCGTTCTGCCATTCGTTTAGTACGACGATCGTGGGGCTTGCCGCCTCCAGCAATTGCGCCACGGCACAGACAGCACAGACCATTGCCGGCGTTAATTTTGCTACAACTTCACGTCAGTGGCGCGGACAGCCAACTTCCTCGAGCACGACAGCGTCACAATTCATGAGGTACCCCTGTTCATGTCCAGGATTGCCAAAACCCCTGTTTTGGTAGTCACGCAACAAACTCAAGCTTCAAAAATTCTTGGAGTGAGAACTGAGTCGCTAACCACATCACCCGGACCTCAGGGCAGGCTATTGAAAGATTCCCTGCAGGTGTTAGGTCTAAAGAAGACTTCACAAGACCATACGAATTAGGAAATACAGCAAGGGTTTCCCGGGGTTTAATGTGAGATGATGCGGTTGTTAGTTCTACCTAGGTAGCTAGCTGGCTGTACCGGTAGAGCCTGTCGACCCTAGCCCATGCAAATCTACTCAAGCTCATTCGCCTCATTCCATTCCACTCTCACGACGGTCGTTTCGACTGCTCTCCCGTATCTTCAGACGTGCCTAATCCCGCCTAGTCGCCCCTCGGGTCGTAAACGCACGCTTCTCTACACTATCGCTGCTCTCGCCATCATATGGTCCATCTTCTGTGCCGCTCGAATGGCTAACAAACCCTGGGTCGCTGCTATCTCGGCTACTGCTGTCGCTAGAGGAGTCATGATCGTCGCCAGAGCTGAATCCACCCCTGCTTGAGGACGAGGAGCCCTTGCTGCTGCCAGAGAAAGGGTTGCTACCAGAAGAGGAGATGATGTCGTTGTCTCCACTCGAGGGTGTCTCACCGTCTGAATATGAGGAGCCGTTGTTTTTTCTCGAGGAAGAGTCGTCAGTATCCCCAGACGATGACTGACTACTATTGCTGCCTGAGCTAGAGCTGTTTTCGCCATCGCCATACAAAGATTGGCCTCCGCCATCAGGGCTAGACTGACCGCTTCCCGAGCTTGATGAGCAGCTGTTGCCGAAGAGGAGGTGTGTGGTGATCAACTGTCGATGCTTCTGTTGCTCTCTGCTCCGCTGCTGGATCCGTTGCTGCTGCTGCTGCTGCTGCTGTTCTATGAGCTGCCTGAGTTGCTTCAGCCATCTGAGCCGCTCGAGCCCTCGCTTCCTTCGCTGCTATCCTTGTCACCATCGCTATCGCTCAAGATGTCTCCATTCTCATTATTGCCGCCGGATTCACCGCCGATCTTGCCACGCTGACCGTCGTCAGTGCCGTTACCACCTGTTCTTTTCCACTGCAGACTTTCTGCATCCGCAGCAGCTACCATACCATGAGCGACGGTCAGGTCGTAAACCTTTGGTGCACGCAGCTAGCCTTGCTGGTTGAAAGCCACAGGACCGGCTGCGGCAGAGGCCGAAAGCCCAAAGAAGATGGTGGCGGCGGCGGCTGTGAAGCGCATCGTGAAAGGTGAGTTGAAAGAATGTTTGGAAGCAGAGATAGGTCGGCTGAGCTTTGTAGACAGAAAAGAGTCGTAGACTGTTGGTGACAAGGTGTTTGTGATCGAGCGGATGTGGATTCAGAGAGCGACGCTCAACTCCACGTTTATACTCCACCATCCTGCGAGCATTGCACTCCGTCCACTACTTCTATCTCACAGCCCTGGTTGCGACGCTGTTCAGCATCGATGTTGTGCTAAGATCCTATGCCCATCGACCCTGACAGCTTGCGTCTGCCGCACCGCAAGCTAAGCTTCTCCTGCAGAGTGTCCTTCCAACTAAATACAGTGTAGAAGCGGAGACAAGTGAGTCATATTTTTGGATTCCGCTGGCGCAGGTGATCTATGTTGAGAATACGCGTCTGTAGAAAATCTGGTGGAGAAGTTCTGTCAAGGTAAACCCCGGTCGAGGTGTCAAACACCGTCATCGTTCATGCACGCAGCTGTCGCGTTTCAGATCTGCTCTTCGTTGCTGTTTCAAATAAACACAGGTCTCTGCAGTCTCGACTGTTGCGACTTGAGTCGAGTGAGTTGGTCTCAGGCAGCAACCGACCGAACTTAACCATCACTTGGTGGGTTCGTGCCTCAGGCGCCGCACCAGTGCTCATTTTCCATTTATCTGTGCAGATATCTGAAGGCCATTCAGGCGAAAGAATACATGTCAATCCCCGTGGATCGGCTAGGTCTTTCTTTGTCAAGCGTTAGAATCTAGACAATCCTCGTGGTTTGTGATTGCGCGAGACAAAGACAGCCACAATACCAACAAAGGCCTAAATGTCGAGTTACCCAAGCCAAGCGCCAGCGCCAATGGCACAGACAGCAGCGCAGTCATTGCGACACAGTCAGTGTTCTTGGAAAGAGCCTTAAAGACAAATGTGAGACGTACCTAACATGTCCCTTCTTTCCTTCCCTTAGAAACTCTTTACACATCGACATACGTTTGCCAAGTCTCTCTACTCTTTACGCAAACCTCACCACCGTCAAAGCATGCATCGGCAATTAGCGCCCGAGATAGGACAAGTTGGGTTCAGCCTGCACCGGGATGAAGAGGAGGATCTGGTTGATTATGGTGACTCTGACGCTGAGGCCGACACAAGCAACAACCAGGAGACCTCGGCAGCTGAGGAGATCGAACAGATTGACATATTCGCCGACGATGCGATACACGCAGAGGTATCTGACCAGAACGGCGACACAAAGGCCAATGACAAGGAGTCAACAGAAGAGCCAGCCGTTCCGACCACAAGCACGTCTCCATTAGCTACAGCAAAGACGGTGGAAGCCGCAATCGTGATCAAAAGCCTAAACCTCCTACTCACCGGTCCTAATTTTCGAGCAGCTCTTGGCCTGGTCGAAGCTGGCAGCACTCTAGATCTCGGCTTTTGGGCAGACGGCTTCGACTTCGCTCTCTCTCTCAAGCTCATTGGTGCTGCTGAAGTCAAGGCTTGCAAGTACAAAGCCGAATGTCGTAGTAAGGAGTGTACATTTGACCACGGCGGTGCTGATCGCACTGCTGTCATCGCCGGCAAGAAGCCTCGAAAGCTGTGCAGTGTTATCAACACTCCAGCGGGCTGCCCAAATGGCGATGCCTGCTGGTTTTCACACGAGGCCTTTGGTGTATCATGCCCTGACGGAGATCTGCGGGCGGGTTGTGTGAAGGGGATCTACTGCGTCTACAAGCACAACGATGATGAGGTGGTTGCTTCAATTGAGCATGGCGAACAGCCAGAGGGGCAAATCGAGAATGGCGAAGAGACCAACGCACCCAAAGCCTCCGTCCAAAACGCACATGTTGTCAAGTCTGCGGTCAAAACGAACATGGAGAGTGCGCCTCCCGCACCCGCCACAAGGACGACGGCATCCTCAAAGCAGCAGGCAAGTGGCATCAAGCGCCGCCGCGAGCCCGATCATGAGGCAGGAGGGCGACCAGAGAAGTTTCAACGCTCATACAAGCACCAAAACCGTCAGGAGCGCCCAGGTGGACGTAATAGTCGCAGAGGCTCTGCTCCTGAGCGAGCTGACTCGAAAAATCCAAGTCAAGGCCCCCGAGACAGCGGCCAGCTTGTTCGTGAGAATAGAGATTGCGGTCGTGGTAGGAAAGGGGGACGAGGCGGACGAGGCGGACGAGGTGGGAAGAGTGATTCCTATTGCTTATCTGAGGGAAGGCAGCGTGATGGCCGATATCAGAAGAAGGTGCCTCTGGAGAAGCGCATGTCACGCAGCTGAACAATGTTACTCCTCCTGTATATGAAGCCACTCTGTTGTTACACCATATTCACTGTCCAAATGAACTCTTGATGCTTTGCGATCGTAGAGGTTTACTCTCTCCTTGTGCAGGCCCCGCCCTTCTCGTCTCCCGGTAGCGTGTTTCAGCGCGCTCTCAACGTCACGGGGTCAAGCCTCGTCGTCACAACACCATCGATACCCAAATTGTACTCACATCGGCGTATTGGTCGTGATGATGGCGGCAGCACTACCCACCATAGTCCGCAGTTCTCGCTGTCACGGAGTTACAATTGATGTATCGAGCGCCTCTGCTCCGCGCAACTAGTTCAGGCACAAAGAAGCGTCGTCCTTACGGTTACTTTTCTCAGGGCCGTCAGGCAACAACGGACATCATCATTCAGCTCGCGTTACTGAAGGAAAACACCTCGAACCGTTTGCAAAGCAAAGATCGTGTTAGAGGATGCAGACAAGCGAAGGAGCTCTAGCCTCGGTACATGTGCCAGTTTAGACCTGACTCCGTCGAAACACCAAGACTTCGAATTTTCGAACGAAAAGACACACACCTTGGCGTATAAGACTCGATATGGCTCGTCAAGAACAGTCGCTACGCGTCGATGCAAAAGGCGCAACGTCGCCTTCGCTACAGCCCCGCATCCTCTACTTGACAGTTTACAACCTCCTGTTTGCTGCATTGTGGATCTCGATAGGCGTGAGCGCACTTACACATGCCTCGGACAGCAAGTTTGTTTTGTTCGAAGCTGTCGAGCCACGAGCGCGATGGGTACAGACTCTCACGTTGATCGAGGTCATACACGCTGCAATCGGTAGGTGCAAGCTCGCAACATGTCTCCGCCTTGCTGATCATGTTACAGGGCTGGTCAAGTCGCCAGTCAGCACCACGGCTATACAAGTCTTCACTCGTGTCATCCAGGTATGGATGATCTGGTATAGCTTTCCGGCAAGCACAGCCGCTTCTCACGCGTTCTTCGTTCTGGTGCTTGCATGGTCGGTTGCGGACTCAACCCGGTACTTGTACCTGGCCTTGAACCTTCATGGGAAGGCCCCGCAAGCGCTTACATGGCTACGGTGCGTTTCTCCATGCTATCAGATCGAAGGGAGCTCATTATCATAGGTACACCATGTTCTACCCTCTTTATCCGATCGGCATCGGCGCAGAGTGGTGGTTGATGTACAGAAGCATTGAGCCTGTTGGGCAAGTCAGCCCGGTCCTTCCGCCTGTGTTTTACTTCCTGTTAGCACTATATGTTCCAGGTAAGTAATCACTTCCATACAGGTGTAATACAAGCTGACATCAGGTCACAGGTGCATACACGATGTTCACGTACATGGTCAAGCAGAGGAAGAAAACGTTGTCGAAGAATCGGAAAACTGCGTAGGCGTTGCATTGACAGCTTTGCGAAACAGTCCGGGCGGGAAGGAGTCCACCGAAGCCTCATATATGGCCAACGATGCTCTCATCTGGTGCGAGATGATAGCCTCGAGGTCTGACTATACAGGGATCCACTACCGTATTAGACCCAGCTTAACTCGGATGAAAAGCTTTGTAAACCTGTAGAGCTCCTTCAATGCTCTGCACCAGACCAAAGAAAATTGTCAGGAACAAAACAAGGATTGCCACCCAGAACGTGTACCATTGAACTCCATTCCGGCGGTCGTGCCACCATTGGGCAATCGTTGAGGGCCGGGATTGATCGAAAGCTTGCTTCAGAATCACGAGCCGATCGTGCCAGAAGTTGAACCTTTCAAACTGCCTTTCTTCAAGTCGCAGGAGGGCACAAGAAGCCACGGCCCTGTCAATAGCTTCGGAGTTGATGCGCTTCCGTATCCAGTGTTGCGTATCCTTGTCATTTGGTGGGAAGAGCAGGGACAGTGTCTTGAGTGTTTCGGCTGCGAGCCCCTCCGGGAACGCGTCACTGACCCAATGGTTAATATTTCGCTACTTGCCTTTGAGCACTGTACGCACCTGACATGTCTCCGCAGGAAAGACACATTACAGAACACGGCGACTGTACCGTCCCGATCCATCAATCGCAAGTGATCTGCAAGATTATCCGTGGATATTACTCGGAGACCTGCAACGTTCTCGATATTGGCCGCTGTGAAAATGGGTTCCATCCTGATTCCAGCATCACTCAAGATCTGTGGCTCTTTGAAGTGCGCATGGACGCATTCTTTCAGGCTTCCCGTGGTCCACCCTAGGTGTATCTGCTCGGAAATTGTTCGAGTATCAACTGCAATGTTGACCATCAGGTACAGCCGCGCTGCTAGATCAATTGCCCCATCTACCCTCTCATCTTCATTAGAGTTTCCGGATATGGGGAACTTTGATCTCAGATCTTCCTTGATCATTTCTCGAGTGGCGCCTTTGTTGAAGCAACGTGTGAGGCTGAAGATATCATAGTGTGATTTGGCCGCCACAAAGCGACCTCGATCGACTAGGGCCTCTCGGCATTGCCTGTCGTAGTATCTGAAGTAAGGTCCCCAATCAAGAAGTCTTTGCTGATATATTGGTAGATCTGTTGGGGGCCAGAAATTCTCTGTGATGGCAACCTTGATGCCGCGGTCGTTGAGAGTTACGTTGAGAGGCCCGTAGAGGGTCTTTTGGAAATCCATGGAACTTGGAGCCTTGAATGGCCTCAGCAGTGCGCGACGCCGACCATAGTCAACTCGTCTGCTTGGAAGCGATCAGGCTGAAGATACAGGACACAGCCCCGCTATACGACGACACAGCCCTCTGTGTACCACCCAAGGGAAGCGAATCCTGAAACACTGCAGAGCTCACACGCCTAGCGAGACTCCGCCGCTGGCAGCTATTGGTGTATAGATGGTGGAAATATGGCGCTAATGCCGCAAAATGACTGCGCTGTCCGGTCTGCGAAGTTCCTTGGCTGTCGAATGATGCAGGTCGAACTCGGTGGGCCGTAGCTGCAGCACACATCCATTGTAGCTGCGCCTCCATGCCCCACACCACCGCGTCAAAGGGCCAGCAAGCTGTTCAAACCATCTAAAGTGTTGCGAGCAGCCGCCCTTTCCCAGAAGAACTCCCTTGACCTCTATCGCTGGTATTCCTACAAATCGAGCCAAGCGAAAACGGCCGTAAACAGTCTCATCCAGCGGGTGCGCACATATCATGACTATCTTATCTGTCGGGTCTTTGGTTGAAGAAAGCACCCGCACGGCCAATCCAGTCAAACCGAGGTCCGTAGGACAATACGTTGGTCGCTTCGGAACATTTGGTCCTCACTGCTGGGAGCTCAGGGACTCTTTCCGACACATCTACAGCACGGATATTCGGCCTCTGATCTTGACGCATCTGGGCGGCCGTATTGGCTCAGTCTCTAATCAGGGATCCATCACAATAACCGCGTACATGGTCGGCAGAAGAGCAAGCACCGCAGCTCCTACTGTCTTGTTTGTCTCTGAGAGCGACGGTCATCGCAAGGAAGCTCGCAAATTAGTCAAGGAGTCGGGAATTCTTGGTCAACACCGTGGCTGGAAGACTGCGCAAGCATCGAGAGACCCCAGCTGGGGAGGCGAGCTGGAACAGCTTGCTTCTGGCTCAAGCTCGATCAATGCGGGTTCCCCCGGGGCGCCTACGACTGAGGTCTTCTACAACCCTTCACAGGCCCTCCGCTCCCGAGGCATGACCTTGTACATCTCCCATAGATCAGGGCTTCGTGTCTTCACAGCAAATCTCGTAAGGGCGCAAGGCGACGTGTATTACCAAGGTCCTGCACACGCCTTCTTCGACAGAATCGAGCAGCCCACCACAAAGTTCGAAAGCGCAGTCGATGATTTTGAAATCGACAGCGATGACCAGACCGAAACCATCCGGCCAGATGATGAGACGGACGCAGGCACTGTCGAGGTCGATTGCCAAGTCTGGTCATCGGACGAGGAATCGGAGGACTCGGGTGTCTCCTCTGCGGAGGACAGCGATGACGACAACTCCTCACAGTCGAGTTTCGGAGCAGAAGGATTGGATTATGCGAGCCCCCGTGCGCAACACGACCCGCCAGAAAGGCTGTTCTCTCAGCTACCTATCACAGATGGGTTTTCGCTCCCTAAGCCTGACATACCCGCATTGGCGTCCCTGCTACCATTCGGCACTCTAGAACGATGGTCCACGGATAAGGACTGGGCGCTCGTGAAAATGGACATTGCTACAATGCCCTCAGTCGCCGCGTTCCTCGCTGCGAGTCACGAAGATCTGAGCATGCTGAGCACAGCGCGCCCTCGCTCTACAGGCACACCCGTAGTGGTTCAGACAACTTCTAGTGGCAGATTGACTGGAATCATCACCGGTACAGCTTCTGATACGCGTGTCCCCTTTGGCTCGTCGTTTGAAGAGGTCTTCTCTGCCAGACTCAACGGGCCACTCGCAGACGGCGATTGCGGAGCGGTCGTGATCGATGCGGTGACTGGTGAGCTGTACGGCCATATCATTGCTGGCTGCCGGGCTACTGGCTACGCTCAGGTCATGGCTGCGAGCCACGTTATGCCAGACATTCTAGAGCCTGAACCGGTATCCAACGCAGCACTTATCACGGCGGAAAGCGGTTTGTCTCTTGCTGCGAGCGCTTTCGACGTCTCGCGCATTGACTTCGAATCATACAGCAGCTTCGACTTGCATCACAGATCTGATCGCAATGACAGCCCTCAGATAGGTTGGGTTGGCGGCCTGACGTGTTATGAAGGTGTCTGTACGACCGATTCATCGAATACTCAAGGTGCATACCCTTCACCGATCCTTCCCTTGTTTCACGAGGGCGAATCATTCGATGCAGACGTACCATTCACCGAAATCTCGCCTGCGACGCCCTATTCGCACCCAACACAGGATTACCTTTCCGGATTGCGTTACCCCAGTCTCGGTGATCCGTGGAGCTTATTTGCTTCAAGAAGCCATCACGCTCCGGCAGACCTCTACGTTCCAGGAAGCCATTATGATACAGTAGGCCTCAGGCCAATGTCAAATCACACGGCCAGGTCCCGTCATCAGCAGGCACAGGCCCGCACTGACGGAGTCCGGACCTGGTTCGACGAGGTTGTCCTTGGGAATCCACGAAGCCGCAATCCCCACCGGGGCAAGGAGATATTGGTGCTTCGATGGGGCGACGCAAGAGACCATGGTCACAAGCAGGAGGTATGAGCACGAAAACTGAATCGAGCGCGCGGGCTAACCTAGTCAGATAATCACGATGCGCAATCTGTTCGAGGAGAAGCTCCATGTTGGCGTGAGGTGCCACGTCGTTCAGCTGCCACGCAGTGGTGATCTCCAGGCAAGAGCCACTGCACATTCAGCCTCCCACGCTTCGAGGTGTGAAGACTCGAACAGTGTCCTCTACATCTACAACTCCGGGAAGGATGTAGATGCGCAGTGCGAAGCCGCAGGACGCAGTGGTCACGACCGAGCGGCCTCGTGTCAGCTCGACGGCAGGAGGCGGTGCATTCGGTCCCGTGACGAATCGGGACCGTCGTTTCCGTCTGGAGAGGGCCAGAGTGCGAGCCGGGCACCGTGGGACGTCGAGATGCAGACTCGCGGGTGTGGATACTGCGTGGACCCGCACGAGGCGCACCGCAGGAACGACCCGCTTTGCGAACAAGGACATGGCTTCGCTGGAGACGACGCATGCTCCGCGATGCTCCTCGAGGCCGCCAGAGCGACATCGGCAGCACCTTTCTACTTTGCCCCGTCTCCCGGAGGGCATCTGTTCATCGACGGTGGGATACACCACAACGACCCAACCGCGCCGGGCATCAGCGAATCAGGGCTGCTGAGAGCGAGCAAATCAACAGCGATGCCAATGATGTGGATCGACACCGGTCGTTCACCAGATCTGATCACCGATCTTACGTTAACCCACGCCACCTGCCAGATACCCTCGACGAACACGATGCCTCTCCATGGAGGCTGCTTCAGTGACTTTGCGCCACCAATCTCCCCAGCCACATGTCGTGCTCGGCCCAGCTCGTTTGCGAGAAGTCGTCAACGGCAGCCAAAACTGACTGTTCTTGGGGATTTCCAACGTCGCGATGCTGCGTGCAGCGAGTGGGGTTTGAGTCGACAGGCAGACTTGCGACGTGACTGCACCGGCGTGACTGCACGCGGGGCCGACTCGATCAAAGGTGGTGCGCGAAGCTGCATCCGTCTTTGTCGAGGCCAACGCGTCACGGATGGGCAGCAGCGCACGTTTGAGTCACAGCAGCCGATTGAAGACGATTCAGACATGCACAATTCAGCAGACGACCTGGAGTGTATCGTGCTGTTGCCGACGGGAGTGTATCGTGCTGTTGCCGACTGCAGTATATCGTGCTGTTGCCGACTGCAGTGTATCGTGCTGTTGCCGACGGGAGTGTGTCGTGCTGTTGCCGACTGCAGTGCACCTTATAACTTGGGTATTGGACCCTCGTAAATGGCTCGCAGGAGCGTGACAAGCCATCTCCCAGCACAGCTCCTGGTGTGGACACTGAGTTGCTCAGCGGCGTGTCGAGGCTTGCAGGCGATGGTCCCATGCGGCGCATTGGCCTGGGTGACTTTGTAAGATAAGACATGTCGGCGGGCGGACTTGCCGGACTCATGAAGGAGGGCACTTTTCTTGGCGCTTTTGGATGAATACGATTCCTGATCTCGTCACCTTGAGCTCACTTGCTCAGCCTTGTTACTCTCCTCAGCGCACTCCGGCTTGATATTTGCTCGCTCTGTTTTGCATGGTTCCTCAAGAGGAGGAGCGGGAGCGTTGCGTGGAATGGACAAGGTCGTATTCGCTGGTACAAAGGAGAAGATGCTTCACCGCAGAGATGCTGCGGGCACCAGTATGCCATGATATGATAATTATATAAGAATGCACCAACGCTGCGGGCCATGATATAACAGTTGTATAAGAATGCACCAACGTAGCGTATGGCTATGCACCAACGTAGCGTATGGCTACGCACCACCCTGGTTCCAAGTTTGAGCCTAAGTCCCAAGTTCGAGCCTCAAGTCCCAAGTTCGAGCCTCAAGTCCCAAGTTCGAGCCTCAAGTCCCAAGTTCGAGTCTCAAGTCCCAAGTTCAAGCCCCAAGTCCCAAGCAGGCTCATGTACACGACTAGATATACGACACCTTGACGCCCATGCCGACCGTCCGGCGCACTTTATCCACGGCCTGCCTGACGAGCCGCATGATGCGTTCTCGCAAATCCCTCTTCCCAAACGCGACCCCAAACGCAACGAGGAACAGCAGGGTGCGCAGCAAGGCCAGCGGGTTGGCCGTCATCTGGCGCGCCGAGTCGGCAATGGATTTCTGCACGGCAGCGAACAGGCCGCCGACACGGGCATACAGGCCGGGCGGCGGCGGGGAGGGCTTCTTCGCCGGCGTGCGGCGGGGCGCGGGGGTGCGGCGGGGGGAGGCGGCTTTGGGCTGGCGTAGCCGGTCGGCTCTGTGGTCGGGCGCGGGCCGCTCGGCATCGCTGCGGACGCGCGCGTCGTCGTGCTGGCGACGCTCATCGTCGATGCGTGCCTGCTCGGCGCGCTGCTTGTCCGTCTCGCGGCGACGGGCCTCCAGCTGCTCCAGCTGCTGTTGGCGCAGCTTCTCCTCGCGCAGCTCGGCGTCGTCCTTTTCCTCCTTCAGGCTGTGCAGCGCCAGCAGGAAGGCCTCCTTGCGCTCGTCGTCGAGCACCTCGCTCATGCCGATGAACTCGCGGGCATAGTGCCACTCGTCGTTGCGCGGCAGCACGTGCAGCGTGTACAGCTCGAGCAGCTTGATGCGCGTGTTGAGGTCGCGCGGGGTGTCGGTGCCCGTGTGCGACCTGCGGCGGGCCAGGTGGCCGGGCGAGGCGAGGTGCGAGGCAATGTCGAAGGTGGGGTGGGCGGTCGCGGCGAGGTAGGCTTCGAGGCGCGCCTGGTTGAGGCGCTGCGAGGGCGAGTGGGTGAGGAGGAGCGTGCTCCTACACGGCATCGTTAGCAGAGACGCGGCACGGACAGCAGACATTGTGCATACAGGTTCACGACCACGTCGGCGTCGACGTCGCCCTCGATGCCGGCGTACCCGTCGCGCACCACTTGGTCCCACACGCTGCCGTCGCGGCACTTGGACACCAGGGCCTTCCAGCGGGCGCTGCCAAAGGCATGCTTGCCCTCCTCAGCGCCCAGCTCGACGACGCTGTTGAGGAACGTCAGGTAGAAGCTCCACACCTTGACCCGCGTGCCGCGCGAGGCCGTCGCGACAGGCGCGTAGCCGGGCAGGCTGGATGCGCCGTCCGGGTCCTGCAGCGCGTCTCCGTCCGTCGGCGGCGCGCTGATGATGGGCTCAATGGTCGACAGCGCCTCGGGCAGGCGCCGCGTGAGGAACAGCTGGGCGGCCTGGCGGTACGCCTTGGCAATTTGCGACGACTGCTGCCGGCTCGCCGACAGGCTGCTGATGGACGAGCTGAGGTACCGCGACCCGCTGAGGTCGTCGTAGAGGGCGGCCATGGCTCCGGTGCTGCGCGGCCGTGGGGGGTGTGGGAAGATGGTACTTGGTGGAAGTCGCCGTGTCTCGACGTCAGCTTCACAGGCCCATGGCTGGCTGGGGGTGGGCTGTCGACGTCGTGCATTCCTGCCTGCCTCACAACACCCGAGCGCGCATTCGACCTCGGCAGCCCACCCGTCACCGCTGGCTGGGAGCCCCCAGCCAACCAGGCCACGCCGCGCCGCCGCATCAGCGCCGGACGACACCTCATCTCCGCCGCGGCAGCTGCACGTGAACACGCTGCGCAGCAACGACCGCGCAGCAACGACCGCGCTGCAACTGATGCAGTCTCCAACTGATGCAGTCTCCAACTGACGCAGCTTCCAACACACCGAGAGATGCTTTGTTGCGAGACCGAGCTGCTCGCTTGAACATGAGCTAGCAATCAATTACTCACTCCAGCCTCGCCACTCGTGCGCTTGCCTCTTTTCTGTGACCTCTGCCGCTCTACCTTTTTTCCTGTGACCTCTGCCGCTCTACCTTTTTTCTGTGACCTCTGCCACTCTACCTTTTTCCTGTGGCATGTTCTGCTCTGCCTCTCGTTCGTGACATGTTCTGCTCTGTCTCTCACTCGTGACCTCTTGTGCTCTGACACTCCTCCTGCAGCATCAACTCGGAAAGAGATATACTACGCAGACCTGGGCCACGACCACGACCACGACCACGACCACGACCATCACCATCACCACCACCATCACCATCACCACCACCATCACCACCACCATCATCACCA